CGTAGCTGTCAGGATCACAATGTATATGAAATATAATGAGATTATAGCTCCAGCATTCAGAGATTACAAACCATGTTTTGGCCAAATAGTGACACTCACATAAGTGTGTCATCATGATGTAATTTGCCTTTGCCTTTACCTATTTCTGACAAAAAGTGCAATCTGCCAACCTGATCTCCAGTGTGCCTTCTGCTGCTCTGGTCACTTCAGTACAAGATAACATCTTATGCAACAAAGCATGCTCCACTGGCGAACATATAGTGGAAGACTGCAGAGCCCCCACTCCTTTATCCGATATTCCTGCCAAACCCTGTTCTGCCAAAGTTAGGGATTTTTACATTATAATGTTAGCGTTTCTCTCCTTGCAGGTATTGTGACTACTTGTCTATTCAAGTTCTATAACACAAGCTACTTACAGAACTCCATAATGTTTTAAAATGAGAGGAAATGGAGCATCTGAAGTGCAGGAATGAGGGAGTTTCTCATGAGTGGGTGGAAAGAGGGCTTTAGAGCAACCATAAACAAGTATCTGCTATTGTGTTGAAAATGTGAACTGTTTGTAAATTCTAACCAACCACTGAACTATCACATTCTCAAACTATTCCTCCCCACACAGGTACCTCCTCATGTATCACTTACCCCACCCTTTTAGATTTTAAGCACTCACGGGCAGGACCCTCCTTGCCATCATGTCTTGAATTGTATTGTAATGTCTTCCTTATATTGTAAAGAGCTGCGAAAGCTGTTGGCGGTATATAAATCCTGTATAATAATAATAATAATACATTTCATATATTGTCTGTGAACTCTGGCTCCTATTGGTTTCTGGCCACCTTACATAAACATGCACACCCTTGAGACAATTGTTCTTTAAGGTGGTTGTTGGTGCCAATAACCATAAGTAATTTAATCATTAAAAGAAGTATCACCGTTGCTACCTTGAAAAAGTCAGGTGTGCCTTAAGTGTCAGTTAGTACTGATGTCTGGCACAGATGATGAATGTGCCTTGAGTGAATACTTACATACTACAGTAAGAAAGTGTTAAACGCAATGCCATTTTAACAACACAGGGGCAATTTCTGGGGTTTAGAGGTATAAGTCCTAAAATGCTCTCAAGTTTGAGGCAAGCCTGGTTGGTCAGGCTTCTAAAAGACATGCTTACTTTACTAAATTACATGAGGCTCAGTCCTTAACACACACCTAAGGCACTCTATTTTTAGCCATGTGACTGTAATTTTCAAATTTCATTGGACTCAACCGAAAATAACTGTCACTTTTTTGGGAAATAAATATACATTTCCTGATGTGTTAGCTTAGTTATTTGAGCATACTTCCTCATTGCATGCTGTGACTTTTACATAATACAAAGTAAAGAATATGTGCACATAAACATTGCACCCTGCCTCCTCTTCCCATTGGCTGCAGACAATACTGCATATTCTTTTAAAAAAAGAGCTAGAGGCATTCCAAAAAGAAAAGATATAAAGGGTTACCTGCATCTCTAAAATGCAAAATGTTAATCGTGGTCAGGAAGGCTGTAACATAAAATGTGAAAGGGACTACGGTTTATAATTATTTTTGCCTTTCATTGACTCAACTAAAACTTCTAAGTTTGATTTTTTTATTTGCTCTTTGAAGCTGGACTCTGTGGACATCAGTCTTTCTTAAACTTAACCATTTATTTTCACTACTTTTTCTTTACTATATTTACAACAGTGATGTGTACATGCTACATACAGTTTGTGCTGTAATCCTCTTTGCCTTGGGGGTGACCGTACATGGTTAGATAGATAGCAACTGCTGAAACCATAGATGCATGCACAGCATGTAAAGATTTGGAAACTGTAAGTTTATTAAATGATTAATTAGTGTTGGCAAATCTCTTTGCAACCAGATGTTCACTTTCTATGGAGAAAAGGGAACAGACACTGCCCCATGCATGGACTGCATATGCATACTGGCTGAATCAGGGAGAAGATTGGTGAGATGTTGCACCAACGAAACACCAAGATGGCAGGTGACTGTCTACCTCTGTCTTTAACTTTTAATTTTATTGTTTTCATTGTCTGAATATACCAAAGTTCAAAGTCTGAATATACCACCTAAATAGTAAAAAAAATGTATTTGGGTGGTATAAAATAAGTGTTTTTTTGGGAGAATTTAGGGAAAATTAAAAATCCTTATGTGTTTTGAGAAACTGGAAAAGAGATTATTTTAATCTTAAAATTAAAAAAAGAGCATAAAAACACATATATTAAACTGCCTTCTGATAACGGGACAGACAGTACAAAGTACATATACACACATTACAATTTATCACACTTGGACATCTTTTAAACCATACTTACAAATATGAATCTTTTACAAAAAAACATACAGCCTAGTAAACAAATCAAATATATTTTTTCCAGCAGCATAGCTTTTCATTACTCAATGTAAAACAAATGCATTTATATAAAAGAAAATCAAACAAAAATGTCTACAAATTCACTCAAATCTTTGGTACCAAAATTAAGGGCACCTATGTTAAGACAGAAAATGTTCTTCAATCACGCTAAACTTATAAATGCCTTTTTTACAGCGGCAATATGGCTGTTTTGAGGCTCAGACTTTACTAATGACTTTAAAAAGCTGTTTTGAAAGCATAACTGTCTACTTTTCTGTACATTCAGTACATTTTTTTGTTTATCAGAGAAGCTCTGCATTATCGAATACTGAGACATTTAAAAAAACTAGTGAACTTAGAGTTAAAGTGGATCATCCACCTACTCATCTGAAAGGCTATCATTTTGTCCCAGGAGCCAGTATTCAGCCAATCAACACATTTGAGACAACATAATCAAGACATGTTGTGTACAGAAACCTCCATGTGAACACTAGCAAAATGGGGAAGGTTGAATGTCACTTTTGCTCTTCCTAGTATCCATGAAAATGTTTAGTGTGGGGTACAACAGGATATGCCATACATAATTCAGCTTTTGAGACCCTATTATAGCTGTGAACTTTAAAATTGTATCTATAGCTAAAACGTTTTTGGGATAGAGTGGGGAAGGGTTACAACCCCTGTCAATTTTGTTGTTGTTGCTGTCTGTGTCCCTGTTTGGCTATGGTCTTTGAAACAATGATGGGAAGTGCAAACTTTTCCAGCTGCCCACAAAAGAAAAATAAAGGGATAATCTTCTAGCAGGTGAAGTTCCCTTAGTTTGCAGAGATTTCCTTTCACTTCTTGTTCCATCTCCATGAAAGGATGGGAAGGGAAAAAAATAAAAATACTGTTGCGCACTACTTTGAAAAGCTAGTTATTAATTGACTGGAGTGGTTGCCATTTTTGTTTCAGTTTGCTGGATTAGGCATGTGGACACACTGGAGGTCTTCAGCTACTATTGTGCTGTGCTGTGCTTCAGGGGTGTCCCCGCACCTTTAAGAAGAAATGGGCTACCTCCAGACATATCTGCCCCCAGTTTTCATCTCTACTATATATGTTCCAAAAAAGAGGCTCTCACCAATTAGAGTTAGGACCACACTACACAAAGGGGTCTTGACAAGGCAGTGTGGCTCCACATATATTTGAAAATGTGTGCAACTAAAACCTCGCAAAAACCAATGCACATTGCTAAACAGTGTAATTTTTTTTTTTGCTGGCTGACTGGTGTGTCGGAAATGTATTTGATAATTTGTTTGCGAAAAGCCCCCTATATGCACCTTACTTGAGTTCGTCATAAATTGACTGGAACAGTTGCCATTTTTGTTTCAGTTTTACCCTTCCATACACTATCCAAAAACCCTGTTATGGGTAAACATACACTTTAATGGAGTATTGCAAATTCGTAGTCTGACACCAACTGTGAACAAAAAAATTTTGAAAACATCTCTAATGATTATGAGATTACAGTTGCAAATTATTATGTATTTATGTTGATTTGCTTAAAGCCAAACACTTAAATGAAACATTTTGTTGGTGGTATTCCTGTTGTACCCACAAGTTCGTTCTTTTGTTTCTATATGTCTTGCTTTCAACTAAATCATACACGCAAAGTAAACCCACCAGCACATTCTTTCCTAGAGCAAAAAGCTTTCTCAACCCTGTGCACTCCCAAGTCACTGCTGAAGTGTCTACATGAAGTTATCAAACAGAGTCTACAAATGTGCACAGGGGGGCAGAGAAAACATGAACAAATTAAAGGGGTGATGTTGCTAAACTGTTATATTGATAAGATGAATATTGATTCTTTAAAGATAACAGTGCCATACACTGAGTGGGTGGGTGATGAGTCCACTTTAGAAAAAGTTTTAAAAAATTATTTACAGAAGGCAAACACAACATTCATAGTTGTCACTTTAACTCATTTTCTTCTGTGAAACATGGCCTGGCTCAAATTACTACCAACTTAATTGAAACATAAGTTCACAACAATATCAATACTGGCAGTAAAATGTGGTTGAGTGTATTAACCCCCACAGCCATGCTAATTGTCTATTCTAGTTCGTAGCATTCATATCTGTTTCTAATCTACAAAAAAGTTTAGAAAAATTACAAATTTATAATACAAGGGCAATCAAAAGGATGGGACCAATATCATCAAGTTAAGCCACGTGAACACTAATTTCCAAATGTGAATGTAAATTAGGTGGCAGCAGTTTTTCAAACGCCATTGTGCATCACTCAGATCTGGTCTATTATTCCTGGGATCCATTACATGTACCGGGGGTGGATCTCTTCCTTTGAATCCATTGCAATTGCACTTGTCATTCCTGTAATCATGAGTTGAACATTCATTTTTTTTTTTATTAAAATGTAGCACTTACTTCATTCAAACTTCCTATAGTAGCTTGATTTATAGCACCTGGCAGCCAACTCATCAACTAGTAACAGTAATCCAGCTTCAAGCGTGGTTTTTGAGGAGTGACACTATTTTAAATCCTTTAAAAAGAGCACAGCTCCAAAATATCTTAGAAATATCTCAAGTGAGATTGAGTAACTCGTTACATTTCAGAAACTGTTATTGCTGTTCACACTGTCCAGTTGTTAGTTTCAAAGCTCCTTTATTATGTAATAAATTCAGTGTCTTGAATTCCAGTGGCATCCTATGAGGGCCAGCATTTGAAAAATATTTATATTTCAGCTCGTCATAATAATGGTATTTCACTATATTTCCAGAAATATCCTTAGGGAAGGGCCAGAATCCATACAGATGAATTTCATCACAAAACCGCGTTGCCAGGGTGTACATCAGAAGGCCAGTGCTTGGTCTCTTGATTTGGACTTTGTTTGTTAGCCAATACCTGAAAAGGGAAAAATAAATTAGCTTTTCAATACTGATTAAATAATTAACCACAATTGCAGCATACTACTTTGTAAATGTTTAGCTGTTTCGGTGTAATGTAATTGATCTGATCGAGAAAAAGTGAGTCTGTATGATACAAATAAAAATAGGTCATATATTATTTATATTATTTATTTATCAAAATATATGTCATAGTCTAAGCCAGCAGCATACAGTCCTAAAAATACATTGCAATGTATATACTGTGTTTCCTCGATAATAAGACACTGTCTTGTATTTTTTTTGGCTCAAAAAAACACACTAGGTCTTATTTTTTTTTTTTATGTACAACAATCCAAAGTTAACGCAAATCCAAATTAAATAATCCAAACTGGCAAAGTTAAGAATATGGTGATCAGGGCAATCAGAGGTGCCGTACCTTTCCTATAGCAATTTGGTAACCAATCTCTGGCCAGAATGAGTGAAGCACACTTTCACTATCGATTGCTCACAGGCGGAGTGCATTTGGTATCACTCCGCCTGTGACAGGAGCCGGCGCTGTAGAGGAAGCATCGGCTTGTGCCCCTCCTTCACTGCCGCACAGCCACCCGCAGCATGTATGGGTGGCTGTGCGGCAGGGATGGAGAGGCTGTCACTAGTGTGTGATGATGATACAGCAATGCAGAATAGCTCCAACTATGTGGGACTACGAGTCCCAGCAATGTATTATATTTGTAAGTAGGGATACGCCACTGCCAATACTGGGCATTTTCACAAGTACTCATGCTTGTGAAAATGCCCCGATAGTAAACGCAGATACCGGTGTTCTGTCAAGAACGCCGACATAGTCGAATTTGCCGACCTCAGCATCTGCGCTTGCGCACAGACCAATTTTATCGAGGAAACAGATTTATTTACAAAGTATTTTGTTTAAATCGTTAATTGTGACTGTTAATAATATTCCGTCATTCACTGCCATAGATGGTATATTATTAACGGCCAGCATTAACCATTACAAATGAATACTTTGTAAATAAATGTCGTTTTCCTCGTTAATTCCGTCTGTACGTAAGCGCAGATACTGGGTCGGCGTTCTCAACAGAACACCAGCACAAAATTTTAAACAAGCGGCTGCCTGAGGCCCCGTGCTTGCTGGGGACCTCGGCAGCCTTCCTGTTAACCATGCGGTGCCATGGTGGTTGGGGGGGGGCTTCATGGTTTCTTGCACCGGGGCCCTGAAGGTTCTGACATCAGGTTGTAGACATGTGCTGGGAAAACTATAGGCCCAGTGGATTTTTATTACATCATTTCTACATCTCTAGCCAGTACACTTTTTTAGTTAATAGGAGACAACTATTACATGGTGTCTAATGTTAAAGAAAGCACAGCATGTATCAGCATATTTCCTAAATATGGAAGCATCCACATACATAACACATGTTGTCAATATCACAAAAAGCTAACCACATACAGTTTATGTCTAAAATAAAATTATCATTAAAGAAAAATGTGTACAGGAGTCCATTATGTTCTATTTATAAGCACTTACATATACCATGACCATAACAATGAAGCAACATATTGAGCATAGAAAAACCACACCCATGGATGCACACAGATATGTAAACCTTTTTGTTGGACTGTGGTACAGTACGAGAACAAAAATTGTATTCAGTGAGGGTTAAAGCAGTAGTGCTGAACTGCCAGCTGAAAGGCTGTATGCTGCCTGCCCATTACTTTTCCTATGGTTGAAATTGCTAATATTGTCTAGTTCCTTGGTGCTCAACAAGTGGCTTGCCTGGCTCCTGTGTGTGGCCTGCCAAATGTCCTGCACCACAGAGACACAAGACTCTGCCCCTGGTGTAGGCCAAATTCCAACACAGGCCACACTGCAGCGCTGGGGCAGTTCAGATGTAAACAAAAAGCTGACAAGCAGCTGCCATTCTTACATGCACACTGACCTATTCTTACATGCACACTGGCTTCCTTATCAATGCTAGCCACATCCCAGCAGCATGGTCTACATGTAAAAACCACCAGAGACTGCCAATCAAAGCTTTTTACTCCCAGCTGTTGGCGAAGTCAGACTACAGCACAGCCATGGTCTCATGGGCAAGAGGTGACCATAGGGCCCTGCAGAGGCTGTCAATCCCACCCTACTACTGAAAAACAGAAAAACAAGTTGGAGAATGTAAAGTGCCAGAAAAGAAAAAAATATATATGAGTTTTAGTAAGATTAATGTGATTGAAATAAATGGTTGTAAATGCAAAATTGTTCTGTGAATTAAAGCCTTTTCAAAGCAGCTGGGCTGGGCTCAATTGGGCTGCATTGCCTATAGCTTTCCCAACACATGAAGAAGGCGATTTGCCCTATGTCCCTTGGCTTCATTTCACTGAAAAAAGTAGGACATGTGCAGTGTGTTCCGACATGCTGTACTGCATCACAACATTCTAAATGTATAAATGAAGCCAGCACTACAGTACACTTTAACAGTACATTGCAGTTGAGACCCTCTGTATTTACTAGGTTGACCACAACTGCTTTAGCCAAAAACAAGCTCACTAGTAAAGATCCCCATTGCAATGTAATTGCATAACAGTTTTTTTTTTTTTTTTTAAAGGCAGTACGGCAGAACTAGTAAACTTCAGTTTACAGACACCTTCAGCAATGTGCCCACCAGTGGTGTATTCTGGTTTGGGGCTCCCCTAGGCAAAACAAAATTAGAGCACCCCCCCACACTAAATCTGCAGGATCTCAGGGGGGCTGTGCGGGATCTGTGGTGGGCTCTGACAAATACCCCACAGAGCCCACCACAGATCCTGCACAGCCCACTCGAGACTCTCAGGTGGGCTCAGCAGAATCCATGCTGGGCTCTGCAGGGTCCCTTTTGCACAGGGGTCTCAAAGTACCGGCCCACGGGCCAAATCCGGCCCGTGAGCCGGTACTAAGTGGCCCGCAGCCAGCTGACAAGTCAGGCACACGGTCACGGTGATCACCATGTATTTATACATGGTGATCATGTCCCCCCTTAATCGCCTCTTCTCCAGAGAGAACAAATTCAGGTCAGCTAATCGTTCCTCATAGCTGAGCTCCTCCATGCCTCTTATGAGTTTGGTTGCCCTTTGCTGCACTTTCTCCAGTTCCACAACATCCTTTTTCTGAACTGGTGCCCAAAACTGAACTGCATATTCCAGACTTATGATTACATGCGGTGTGCAAGCGTTTACATGCAGCAGCTGTCACCCGATCATTAATTTGAATGGGTGACAGTTGCCGCTTGTAACATATGCAGACATTAACACTGGTACCGTATATAGTAGTGGCCCCCTTGGGACTAAAAAACTTGTCCAGCGGCCCTCGACTTAATTGAGTTTGAGACCCCTGTTATCCTCTTACCTGCTGCTTGGTCCCCGGCCTCCCCAGCCTCCTCCACCGCTGGACTGGTGCTGCAGGACCCGGCCTCCTCCGCAGCCCAACGCTCTTCGGTGACCCGGCTTCCTGCGGTGCGGTGGCTCCCTGGCCCCCCCCCCTTCCTGCTCCAACGTCTTCCTGGCCTCGCCCCCCCCCCCTTCCTGATCCAACGTCGTCCTGGCCTCGCCCCCTCCTGCTGCTCCACCTCGCCCGCTCCTTCACTGCCACCTCCTCTGCCCGGCAGTAACCATGTTTACACCATGAACATGGTCACAAAGATAAACATAGCCTTTAAGCTGCTTCAAACTGTTTTGGAATGTTCTTTTGAACCTATGTACACATGCCGTAATATGTTGACCTCTCCCAGCTGTCATGCTGATCCCCTTGCCTTGATACTTTGGGAATGATTTACTAAAAGTAAATATACTGTTCACTTTGCAAGGGAATTTGAACTTTGCAGGGGGAGGTTTCCATAGCTTGGTGAATGTGGCAACATTTTTCTTTGCAAAGTATACCCAATCATAAGGAAGGAACATTTAAAACAAAAACTGTATTTTTGCTTGTACATGATTGAATGATGGAAGTCAGCAGCGCTTCACCTTATTCGCTAAGCTAAGGAACCTTCCCCTGCAAAGTGCAAATTTCCTTTCAATGTGAACAGCCTATTTGCCATTTGTAAATCAGCCCCTCTGAATAACTAAGGACTGGTTCACACTAGCAGCCCAGTAAAAGGCTGCATTTTCCCATGTGGCTAATGTCCGCTGAAAGGCAGTGGTGAGCCACAGTGCCTTGTGTTGTTACAATGCAAGGCACTGCTAACTTTATTTCCTTTGTTTTCTAACTTTATTTGGAATATACAAAGTGTGATCCCCAATCAGGTGCCTACACAGCAGCATGGTGTACTGCACTGTTATAACCTGCGCTGTGAAAAATGCAAGACAGGAAATATTAAAGCGGAACTAAACCCACCAATTTTATGGTTAAGTTAGAAATGTTTAATACATGTTATTAAATGCCTAATCAAATATCAATGCTGTTTACTGCAGTGTTTTCACATTCTACTTACTAGATCACTTGAAGTGTATGACATGCAAGGCATGCATCTATTGTTTATGTAGTATTAAACTCTCTCTCAGCTCTACTTCCCTGAACTTCCTGTCCAGTATAAGATCACAAGAGACCGCATTGTTTTCAGAAGCTGTCCATCTGCTAGCTTGGAGAAGGGAAGAGGGAGGAAGGAGGAGTAGAGAGTAGGGAGCAGAGCAGTGGCTTGCCTTGCTATGTGTGTGCTTCTGGATAGTCAAGAAATTGTCACCAGCACACAAGATTGATTATTATAGCAAATAAGAGTCCATTTATTGATGTGTACCATCTCTCATTTGCAAATGCTTTTGGGGCCATGCAGGGTCCCCTTCATCAGGCTCAGAGGTGACAGGTCATCTCTGAGCCTGA